CTGGCCTTCAATCTGCTTTGTGAGTATCAAGTGTTCTAAGCCCTCTCTCCTCGCTATGCGCACTAGAAATTTCAACTGCCTCTTCTTGGTGTTAAGTATAAGTTTCCTTTTTGTTTCCATTTTCTGTAAAACTTCGTCATTGATCGGTCCATGTTCGGTCCATGGTATTCTCAGCATCCTTCTGTCGAACCACATTTCTGTTGCTTTAAGTCTCGACTTCATCTGCGAGGAGATTGTCCAGCATTCACTTCCATTTAGGAGAACTGATATTACGTAACAGTTCAGTACTCTTGTTTTTTGTTTCTACTGAAACTTTTATGTTTCTCAATACTTTGCTTAGCTTTTGGAAGTCACTTTTGCTATCCCAATGCGCCTTCGGATTTCAGTGTCGGACTTTCCATCCTTTGTTAAAATACTTCCCAGATATTTAAATTTTTGCGCTATTTGATTTTGGTATGTTCAGTTTTTAATTTGCATGTTGGGCTGTTCCTTTTGTTAACAACCATTCATTCTGTTTTCTTGCAATTGATGTTTAGTCCTTTCTTCTCACTTTCCTTCAATACCTTCTGATGGAGTCCATGTAGTTTCTTTTCTGGGTTTGCTATGAACACTGTGCCATCTGCATATCTTATATTGTTAAGATTGTGGCCACCAATAATGAATCCTGGTGGGACTTCTATTTCACGCAGAATCGCCTCACTGTATAGATTGAATGTCCGGTAAGAAGACACATCCTTGTCTTACACTCCTTTCTATTTTTGTATATTTACTGAACTCATTTTCTGTTCGCATACAGGTGATTTGCTGCCAGCATAAGTTCTGGGTTATTCTAATATACTTTCCAATAATTATTTGTGACGTATTGTATCAAACGATTTTGCATGATTTATAAAACACAGGTACACCATTTGTATTGCTCTTTCTTATATCATTCTGAACACAGATATCTCATTTTTGGTTCCAGTATCTTTAACGAAACCGTACTAATTGTCCGGTGGTTTTTACATTCGTTTGTACCTGGCTTCTTAGGCAGGGCTATGAATAGAGATGTACTTAGGGCTATCATCGCTATTCTAGATTTCATTTAATTACTTTTATAAAAAAAATTAATTATGGAGTTTCTTTGGATCCTTGAACCATTTCGATGTTGAAGGATAATATACTAGGGTGGATAAGTATTTTATGTAAATAATTCCACACTAAGTTTTACTGATACGCACTAGTAAATGAGAGTACTGTCAAAAAAAACAGTCACTATCATAGTCATTTTAGCATCACTACTTGAATATCTAACATTATGTATACATACACATTCTTTATTCCGTCAGCCCAGGTAGTTTACCATCAGCTACTGTCGGGTGCAGTGAGAGTCACGCAAATTCACACTTGTGGTTTGGTTGGACGCTGATTTCGCTTTCTGTGGTTTCAGTTACTCAACTTCATCCGATTTGATAGTCAAGTGGTTTCGTTTTCCGCGGTTTCAATTACTCAGCTTCATCCATCCGATTTGATAGTTCAGTGGTTTCGTTTTCCGCGGTTTCAGTTACTCAACTTCATCCATCCGATTTGATAGTTCAGTGGTTTCGTTTTCCGCGGTTTCAGTTACTCAGCTTCATCCATCCGATTTGATAGTTCAGTGGTTTCATTTTCCGCGGTTTCAATTACTCAACTTCATCCGCCCGATTTGATAGTCCAGTGCTTTCGTTTTCCGCGGTTTCAATTCTTCACACTTGTGGTTTGGTTGGAAGCTGATTTCGCTTTCTGTGGTTTCAGTTACTCAACTTCATCCGATTTGATAGTCAAGTGGTTTCGTTTCCCGCGGTTTCAATTACTGCTTTCCGATTTTAGTTCAGTGGTTTCATTTTCCGCGGTTTCAATTGCTCAACTTCATCCGTCCGATTTGATAGTTCAGTGGTTTCGTTTTCCGTGGTTTCAATTACTCAACTTCATGCATCCAATTCGATAGTCCAGTGGTTTCGTTTTCCGCGGTTTCAGTTACTCGCTCTCATTTAGTAATGACTGAGTAGACGAGCTAGCTAAATGTTATCTGTTGAAGCTTAAATAAGCATGGAATAATACAACACAAAATGTACGTTAACAAAATGTATTGAAACAAAGAATAGGTACACAATATTTACAGTTAGTTTGGTATATTCTTGGGAAGACATAATGGGTAGTAAATCGCATCGGGCAGAGGGATTCAATTTCTTAATCTCTACTGTCTTCCCTGTCTTCCGGTACCAACCCATATTTATATGGTTTCCGCTTATGTAAATTAGGTGTATCATACACAACATTATCCATTAAAACTATTTATGACTAGACAGTAGTTATGGGAAAGTGCTTTTCCTAACTTCTAACTCGCTTCATCTCGATTGCATATAGAAGACAAGACCTTTTTGACAAGACATTTGGCAAGAGAAAAGAATGCAGAAATTTGAAATTCTGATTTCCAAGTCAGGATTACAGTTTGAATGTTGGCATAACACAATCAACCGAATCTTATTTGACCTTATGCTGTCGCTTATATATTACGATGAACCTGGTTCAATTTGACTAGATGTTATATTTTTTCAGTTATTATGATAATTATGGGTGGGTTATTTGTTGGGAGGGACAAAAAAGATTGAAAATAAAAGACAAGTGTATTTTAACACATAAAAAACTGTTATTCATCTACTGCCTGAGAACAGCAAGGATTAATTGAAACCATGAATACAATGTGCTTGTCAGCTTGTCACCATGTTGAATTTAAAAGGGCCGCGCTCCGACTAGTGGACAAGGGAAGTCATTCAATTATATTTTGGAGTTATCGTCCTTTATAGGGGAGGTAAGTTAACATCCCCTAACAGTTGTATTGTTCAGCAAAACAGGCTCTGTTGAAATTCGAATTTCGATTAGTTCCACTTTTCATACCAATAATTGTTTACATTAGCTCACACCTCCAGTTAGATAAAACGTATAAACGGACAATACCATACGGGCATTTACATATGTATATTAGAAGCCGTACATAGAAAAATACACAAGCATACATTTACACACACATATTCATGTACGCCAGCACGCAAAACAGAGTGAAGATTCACACTGGGCCGGAGATGTCTAGTCCTCACTCTTCAGACTCGACCGAGATCAAAGACGTTTGTGCGTGATAAAATATTTTCTACTCTACAACTCCTTTCCCACGGTCGGAATGTTACTAGCTTCTCGTTGCTGTACCGTTAGTAGATGTTCGATCGAACTACATTTTTTGGATCCACCCGTTCAGATTTTCACAGGTATGATACGCCATACCACGAACTGAATAGACACATCCCCATTCCCTTCATATTCCATTAGCAAGGAGGAAGTTCCGCTCAGATAGCTTCTTCCGCAGAATGTTTGCAATATGAAACAGAAGGGATGCTTCCTTTATCGCTATAAAACCTCCCCAAGTCGATGATCAACTGTTATCTATCCTAGATACCCTCATAATATGCAACCCTTGTTCTCTTCCTATACGCCCTTACAACATCACCATTCAGTAACACTCTACTTTGAGTTAAACTGTTGTGGCCTGTTAGGGGCCAAAAAGAAAGACACGGAAAGAAGAAGGTAGGTTGAACAAGTGTATTGAAATAACAGAACATATCCACAAAATTAGTCAGCAGAGAGAAGTGTCCTTCCGAACTATCAGGTTACTTAGGAAGTCTCGCAGGTTAGTATTTATGAAGGAAGAAGAGTTCATTCTAATGTAGAATAGGTCACCATAACATAGACTTAGGCCTTGTATTGGGCGAACAACAGTAAAAACAAAGTACTGAACAAAAATCCAATGTATTTGATAATTTTAAAACAGAACGGCGCATTTTGATTGGTCAGAAGCGGCGCTGGGAAAGTTGTCAGTGTTATATTTTAATAGAGACCATACCCCGTTTAAAAAAAAGAAGAAAATTTTTCCATTCTCCTTCTCTTTTTTTACCTTTTCTCTCTCTCTCTCTCTCTCTCTTTCTCTCTCTCATGAAACCTTTCTTTTCTTTGAAAGATTAAGCCATTTTAACAATTTTGTTAAAACACATATAGAATCAAATCAGACAAAAATGTTAAATAACTTAGAAACAAATAAAAGGTTTCCCTCCCTGAATTCACCCTCAGTACTGCAATTGTGTCGCAGATTTTCAAAGCATTTTTCTCAGCTTACCCCCAATGAACCGGTCTCTTTGTCAAATCATCCAGCCCCCAACTCGTTCGTAAAGGGCTTCTCTAAGCCGCCCCTTTGTAATCCCATGACTGCATCCCTCCTCTGGGAGAGGAAGGAGGGTGAATAAAAGAGGAATTTCTTTAATAAAGTCATTTATGAGCCCATAACTGCATACTAATTACGGCGAGTGACTTCATCGCTTGGAACGCAGCCCAGCTTGACACTCTCTACCTCACATGTCATGTGGGACGTGCAGGCAAAAGCAGACGGCGACAAGATAAAGAGATAAAAGATTGACACTTAAAATCACATGAAAGGTGTAGAATGAAAATTTCTATGGGCAGTTGTGTGCCTTGTGTGAGGAGCGTATCTGAAGTGAGGCTATGTACGAGTGTATGTTTGTGTTGTATCAGAAAGAAAAGCTGCTAGTATGTGAACGTGTTTGATAACGTGAACCTGGTAAAAAGCGCACAAAAAACGGTTTTCTGATTCAAATAATGCCCGTTCGATAGGAAGAGTCCAGTCTAACACGAAACGAAAGTTGTGAGGCTGATTGATTGATTCATTTTTAGGGCTTATCAACCTTTTTCAAGAAAATATTTTTTTAGATTGCAACAATTTTTTTTTGCAGATAATAATGATTTATTGATATATGTTCTACAAATTAACCCATAGCTAGGGGTAGAGAAGGTGGATTCATAACTTTCCCAAAGGTATTTGCATGTAAGTGAATATAACGAGCCAAACTGGAATTGGAACTTGGCTTTCCGATTTCCAATTCTGAGCCGTTATTCATTACACCACCCGTACATCTAGACTTACAGCACTTGGTATTCCCAATCGGTCACTCATCTAGGTACTGACAAAGCTCAACGTTCCTTAACTTCAGTGATCATGCGAGAACTGGTGTTTCAACGTGATATGACCGTAAGCGAATTGTGAGTCATTCAATGGGATGGAACTCACTACAGTAGTTCTGCGAGATTAGCTTGTGGTGTGGAATTTCAAAGCTTAATTTAGACTGGCACATGGCCGAATACACAATGAGACCTAACGACATTTACTATGTTTAGTTTAGTCTGACACAAGGTTTCGTGTATGGAGAATCTGATTATAATCGAACTCATTACAGCAGTAAAAATCTGATAGGTGACCACGACAAGCTGTTCATTTTATTATTCATTAATTTGCTTGGGCTCGAAGCCCGTTGGTGCCAACACCATTATGGATAATTTCTTTCTAATCAGATCATCTACACTTGTTGAAATCCATCGTGTTTTCGTTAGACAGACGTGTTATCTTTCTCCACGGGTCTAAACATTTTTATACTGCTTCAAGTGGTTTGAAGCAGGCGATAGGCGAACCTATCTACTCTCATAAAGGACAAAAGAATAATTAGGGAATAAAATTTCATAGTTCAGGTGGAGACATTAGAAGTATAGAGTTCGAATAGACTTTAGAAGGAACTGGAAACCTAATCCTAAACATGAAACAAGGGATAAACCTCTACTCCTGTTCAAAATACCAAGGAGAGATGTGAAGGAGAACCTATCTACTCCTATAAATGAAAAACTGTTAGTATAGTAGTTATCGTTACATCTACTAATTTCATCTGTAATTTCAACCTGTTTTTTCTGCTTCAATTTCAGCTGTTACCAACCACGGCTAGAAATCTCAGTCTGCTCTGCTATTTAACCCATAGCTAGGGGGAAAAGACGGATTAGTAAGGGTCTTTGTGCGGAAGTGTTTCATTAACAATTCATTATTGCAGAGACCGTTGATTTTTTCTTTTAACATTGAGTAGTGGATGAGAACTCAGATGTTCAGTGGATCATGATGATGATGATGATGATGATGATATTGATGATGATCATCATCAATATCATGACCGCGTGTGGTCGCAGAATATTTTTGTTTTGTGAGTAAAATGTATATTCTAGAATTTGTGTCTGTGTATATCCCCAGCTATAGGTTAAATAGTGGGACAGATTGGACTTTTTATTCTTGGTTGGCAACCAGTTTAGGAAAAGAACAACTCTGAATTCCAAACCGTATGCAAGTCAGCTCTGAGCCATTGAATTATCTTTTCTCGGAACAATCATGACAATGCAGATTTTACAGAAATTATGAAAACGAAACTGTGGAAAGCCATGATTTCCTACATCAAGAAAGGACATGGCACTTAAAGAAATAGTATGTGTTTTGTGTATATAATTGTGCGTTTGTGTGAGAATGTACGAATACGCGTGTGGCTATGAGATAAACGTGAATGTATTTTTGTGGGTGTGTAAAAGATAAAAAGAAGAAGGAAGTGCGTATGTGCGAGAGAAAGAGAGAGTGTGTGCATCCATTTGCATATTGTCGGCATCAATGTGTGTGCATTGTATGCTAACAAGTGTGTATGTGTGATTATTTTTCTTCCTCTTCTTCTGAGCGGCACTGGGAATGTTTTGTCATTTTTTTTCCTCTTAAAAGGAACGCCTGAGGACAAGGAACTGATTAACTTTTGATGGCGACCTGAATCTTTTTAAAGTGAAAATTTCTAAAGAAATTTAATTTTATTAAAAAAAAAATCGGTAGGAGTTTTTAGAGTAGAAAATTTAAGAACATTATAAAACCACCTGACACCACCAAATTCGTTAAAAAGCGTTACACTAAAAAAAGCAAAAGAACAAAAAACAAAGCAAAGAAAATCAAAAAGCTACTTAAATCATATGAAAATAATGTCAAAACTTCAATTGAAACCGCGACGAAGACATGATTATCGCCATATTGAAATCAAATAACGAGACTATTCCTTTTTATATTTTCTTAGGTGAGTTTATTTTCACACACAGGCCAAATTGGTTAAAAGAGTATTAGGAAGACTGTGCTGCGTCAATATTTTAAGTGCAAAGGTTCTTCCTGTCTTGAAAACTGACATTTGAAAATTGTTTTTCTTTGGAGGGTGGAGGGTCATACGAGATGCTAAACCAAAGTTCTGGGAATTTGACCCTGAGCTTCAAACGAAATAGTTCGCCGCTGCTTGCATACTGATTTACAAACGGTACTGCTTACAAAGTGTAGCGGCAAACGTTCGGGCATCAACCAATATCACAAACAGGAATTATTCGACTATATCAGTCGCTTTATTTTAATGCCTTATCCCTTCAGGGCGTAGACAATCGCGGCTCTCCACAGCTTCATTCTCTTTAATATCTGTGAATTGCCACGACTTCTTGGGAAAGATAGTGGGATAGTTTCCCATTTCCTTCTACATGGGTTTTGAATTCAAAGCTGTTCTTCTAGACTGCCTGGTATCCAAGGCTAGATAAATCAGTCTACTATGCTATTTAACCCATAGCTGGGCGGTGAAAGAGATAGAGCCATAATTTTTCTGAAGAGCATTAGCGTGAAGTGAAGACAACAGAATTTGAACTCAGCTCGCCGATTCCAATTTCGACGTAGATAACCGATTCGTAACGCAGTCACGAGGCACTCCTATATTTTTTTTAATGTGCGTGTCCTCTCAGAACGTAGGCGATCATGGCTCTCCACAACTTTCCGCCCTTTGTAGCTCTTAAAAAACGTTGTCTTTCTGTTATTTCTCCTAAGCCATGTGCCACCATCCATTTACTCAAGCCCACTAAGTATGTTGTGCGTTGTTTTCCTCTGTCCCTCTTGCCCTATATCTGTCCCGTGAGTATCAGATTTTCCAAGCCAGCCTTCCTCATAATATGCCACAGAAACCTCAACTCTTCACTTCCTGATGTTAAGCATTAGTTTCCTTTTTGTTTCTATTTTCTTCAGAACTTCGTCGGTACATGTTCGATCCACTGTATCCTCAGCATCCTTCTGTAGAACTCTATTCCTGTTGCTTCGAGTCTTCTCTTCATCTTTGAGATCGTCCAGCAGTCACTATCAACCAGGAGGACAGGTATCACATTGTGGCTTAGTACTTCAGAGACGAAAACAAATTAAAAGTGTTTGACGTAAAAAAAAGGCCCTATTGCTGGATTTAGCAGATTTTTTATATAAGATTACCGGATTTACCAAGGTTTTACAAGATTTCTAGATACAGAAATCGTATTATCAAAAAACTACGATTAACGTTTCAGCGCGACAGATTCGATGTTGTCAAGGTTGGAGCGGCTGTCTCAGAAACCCGTTGCTCATGAATTCGATCTTCCCACTAAGCTTCTTACCAAAGTTGATACAGCATGATCCCGTTATCACGCGATCGTTATGCTCCATAGAATGTTGTAGACAAAAAACGAATTTTTAGTGCCCCTAGTATGCACACACGCATACACATATGTGTAAAAATTTCAGATAGAGTTTATCTGGAAAAGGACAATATGAATAAAGACAAAATTAAAACGTATCTTAAAAGACGCTAAAATTTCATTTATTAGGCATTGAACTGTATAACTTACGTCCCTGAACTTGTCTGACTTTCCCGCTAAACTGATCAATATTCATGAGCACTCCCATACCAAAAGATTTCTGCTCTTGTATGCAAATACTTGCCACAAAATAAAATATTTACATTTGACTTGATAAAGTCCTCCAGTATTATTTTAACATATTTTCTAGGCACAAATCTCATTGAATTGTTCACGAATATATATTTTGATATTTCATTTGGCGTTAAAATATTACAAATTAACCAAACCTTTTTTTAAAATTGTAGACTTGCGATGGTGACGAGTTTTTCATCTGTTTTGATAATCCTCAGTTAGAAGAATGAAACATCAAGGGAGTAAATTTAAAACCTGTCTCTCTCTCTCTCTCTCTCTCTCTCTCTCTCTCTCACACACACACACACACACACACACACACACACACACACATATATAGTAGCGGGCATAATATAAGGAACGGAAACAACAGACATATTACTGTGTATTACTTAAAAAGTAATGCATGATTAGCAATTAAATTTTTACCAAATAAAGATTAGGGTGTAATGCATAAATATTATACAAAATTACAAAAATTTACATAATATTTTTTTTTAATAAAGATTAAATGGAACAAAGGAAATAAGCTACTGGACAAAAGTTAAGGAACGATGTTAATAATTTGCATAAACTTTTAATTTACATTGTTAAAAAACTCGATGGAGCTTTTCAACAATAAGTAAAAGTTCATTTATCATTAGGACCTTATTTTTAAGCAATATGGCTAAAATCTACACGCAAAACGCTCTCTTTTGAAGAAAAAAAACTCATTATCGCTATCAAGAAAAAAAAGTCAATTTCAGAAATTTCTGATATTGTTCATAGGTCTAAAAGTGTCGTTCATCGTGTAATTAGCAGGTATAAAACCGATAAAACGTTAGATGCAAAATCAAAAACGGGCAGACCTCCAAAAACATCGCAAAGAGAAGATCGAAGAATTGTCAGAATATCTACAAAAACCGTTTTGAAACTGCTACATCAATTGCCCGTAAATTTAATGAAGAGACAGATAATAAGATCTCACGGAAAACGGTTGCTCGCAGGTTAAAAAAATGCAGGATTGCATGCCCGTATTCCAGCTTCGAAGCCTCTCATTTCAAAACGAAACCAAAGGGCACGCCTGGAGAGAACATGTTGTTTGGACTGACGCACAATGGGATACAGTTCATTTCAGTGACGAGTCCAAGTTTACTATATTTGGCTCTGAGGGCAAAACTTACGTACGCCTTAGAACAGGTGAAACACTGTCTTCTCAATGTGTCAAGAAAACCGTTAAGTTTGGTGGCGGCGGTGTGATGGTGTGGGGAATGATTTCATCTGCAGGAGTTGGCCCTATCATCCGCGTACATGGCAATATCACTGCTGAGATTTACAAAAGGCTTCTTTAGCAGCATGTGGTACCAAGATTACACCATAATCTTTATGAATCTCCCATTTTCATGCGGGACAATGCACCTTGCCACAAGGCTCAGAAGGTTATGGCTTTATT